TGTCATTCCATTTTTCAGCAAAGGATTCCTCTTTCTTCTCCTTCGTAAAAATGTCGAGGTAGAAGATGGAAGTGGCGGTGGCGGTACAGGCAAAGGCAACTCGTGGTGTATTCAGATAAAATGTTTTAAGAATTTATATAAAATTTTGGGTAATTAAGTAATTCTACTTAAGGTGATTTAAGTAAATAAAAAAATTGATTAAAATTGTGGTGTAACAAGTAAATTTTGTTGTGGTAATATAATTACCCTTTTTAAAAACCCTAAATTCCCAAATCACAATTCACATTTCACAAATCACAAATCATAATTATAACTCATCAAGACATCAACTCATAGTCCCAGTCTCTCAATAATAAATCACAAATTCAAAAAAAAGAAGAAAAAAAAAGATAAACAGAGCAAAAAATCGAACGGAAATGGAAACCAGCGCTTACCGTTCACGAGTCGCCAGTCACCAGACTCACCACCGTCCACCGACACAGCCACACAACACAGCAGCGTCCACCAGACCACACCGTCTCGACCATCGTACTCGTTCGGTCGTTCCCTCAGCTCCTCTCCCCCGATTTCAATTTTGCAATTGGGCGTTTTCAATTGTGAACTGGCCAACTGGGACTTAGCTAATTGATTGGGGGCATTGGCCCCATTCATTTAGGTTTGGTTTGGGCCTTAATTTTTTTAAAAAAGGCCCAAACAGCCAAAACAAAGGGAAAGAATCAAAAATTTCTGGGCTTCTGGTCTTCTCTCCCTTCTCGGCGGACGGCGCTAAACTGAAGGTGAAAGGCTGAAGCAGTGAAGCTCCTGGCGGACCCAGCACGGGCGGTCGCCCCCCGTCGCCGGGTGCTGGGTCTGTCTATGTTCTTGTTAGTGAAAAAGGAGAAAGTGGTGGCCATGTTTTCATATCTGGCATCTGTATTATTCTTGGAGGAATGTGAGTTCCTTTCCTTTAACATTACTACAGTATGTTGAGACTAAATATGAGCAAATTAATATGTACGTATTTAACAACTTAAAATTCAAAATTGATTTATGAATGCAAAGAAGTAGAGTTTTACTGGTCTGTGCTTGTCTTTAGATACCCTTCTTGTAATTTCAGGTCCCTTATGAGTGCACTCCCTAACCTCCAACCCATTACAGAGGCAACAACTTCTGCAAAAGGAATTTTCGAATTAATTGATCGTATTCCTCAAATAGATTCTGAAAGAGACAAGGGGAAAGTTTTAGAAAATGTAAGAGGTCAAATTGAGTTTAGAGCAGTTTATTTCAGTTATACATCAAGAAAGGATTCAGTTATCCTCCAGGGATTCAACATGTTAGTGAAACCAGGTATGAAAGTGGGTCTTTTCGATTATGCTAGCCTGGGTCTTTTTCCCTTTTTGTTTGATTTTAGCTTGGGTCGTTTTATATGATTTTGGTGTTTTTGAATGCATGTTTGTGTTGTAAGTTGCACATATTCAGGTTCAATTGTGTAGAATTTTGCACTATGTGTTTTGCTTTTGCATAAATGATAAACCGTTTGAATGG